AAACGGGTATTGCTCCCTCATTGAGACCTCGGTCTCCCAGGTTTCTTCTTCGACTCGATCACTCCTCCACAGAACCTTCACCATAGGAATCTCCTTGTTCCTAAGTTTCTTCACCTGTTGGCCCACTATCTTCACTGGTTCTACAGCATATTGCAGGTCCTCCCGGATCTCCACCGGTGGTTTCTCAAGAATATGTGACGGATCCCGTACATACTTCTTGAGCATCGATACATGAAATACATCATGAATCTTCTCAAGTTCAGGGGTCAACTTGAGGCGATAAGCTACGGCCCCAATCCTCTCAAGGATTTCAAATGGACCAATGTATTGGGGGTTAAGCTTGCCCTTTGATATGAATCGGATGATGCCTTTCCAAGGAGAGATCCTTAGAAAGACTTCATCCCCGACCTCAAACTCCAACGGCCTCCGCCGTTTGTCTGCATAGCTCTTCTGCCGATCTTGGGCAGCCATAAGTCTGTCACGGATGATCTTCACCTTAGCCTTGGTGATCTCAACGAGTTCTATCCCTTCGAGTTTGGCCTTGCCAACCTCATCCCAACACAAAGGTGTCCTGCACTTCCTCCCATATAATGCCTCGTAGGGAGGCATGCCAATACTCGCCTGATAACTGTTGTTATAGGCAAACTCTACCAGAGCCAAATGTTTGTCCCAACTCCCTTGGAACTCCAAAGCACACGCTCTAAGCATGTCCTCCAAAATCTGTATCACCCGTTCGGACTGTCCATCCGTCTGTGGGTGAAAAGCTGTACTAAACTTCAGTTTAGTACCCAAAGATGCCTGAAACTTTGGCCAAAATCTGGATGTGAATCGTGGATCCCTATCTGAGACAATGGATATCGGGACTCCATGCAATCTCACAATTTCTTCCGTATATAACTTGGCTAACCTTGCAAGAGGGTAAGTAATGTTGATAGGCAAGAAATGTGCGCTCTTGGTGAGCCTATCGACCACTACCCAAACTGCATCATAGTTGTTCACCGTCCGTGGTAGCCCTACCACGAAGTCCATAGTCACATGTTCCCACTTCCATTCTGGAATGGTAAGCGGCTGCAATAGCCCTGCCGGGTGTTGGTGCTCTGCCTTAACCTGCTGGCAAGTAAGGCATCGACTCACATACTCTGCGATGTCTCTCTTCATACCTGACCACCAGTAACTCTCCTTCAAGTCTCGGTACATCTTAGTACCCCCTGGATGCATGGCATAGGCCGAAGAATGAGCCTCCTCTAGTATAGACTTCTGGAGCTCCTCATTCTTTGGTACGCACACACGGCCTTTAAACATCAAAAGGCCATCCTCACGTACCCGAAAGTTCTCAACGGGCCCCTCAAGGATCCGTTCACGGATCTTCTGACATTCCTCGTCAATGGCCTGACATCTACTGATCTCACCCAGTAATGTGGGCCTAACCTCAAAGCTAGCAATGAGGGTCCCGCATGTGGACACCCCCACGCGCGCTCTCAATGCCCGTAGACATGTGAGTAACGTCCCCGACGTACTCTTCCTGCTTAGCGCATCCGCCACCACGTTAGCCTTTCCGGGATGGTAGTCAATGATCAAGTCATAGTCCTTGATCAACTCCATCCATCTCCGTTGTCTCATATTCAACTCTTTCTGAGTGAATACATACTTTAAACTCTTATGATCAGTATAAATGTGGCATGTCTCCCCGTAGAGATAATGCCTCCAAATCTTCAGTGCAAATACTACCGCCCCCAACTCCAGGTCGTGGGTAGGGTAGTTCACCTCGTGTTTCCTCAATTGCCTAGAGGCGTAGGCTATCACCTTACCGTTTTGCATCAACACACATCCTAGCCCCTGGATGCTAGCATCGCTATAGATATCGTACCCTATCCCCTGCTTGGGTAGGGCAAGAACTGGTGCCTCGGTAAGCCGCTTCTTCAATTCAAGAAACCCTTCCTCACATTTGTCATCCCATATGAACTTGGCCCCCTTCTTTGTGAGCTTCGTCAATGGAGATGCCAACACGGAGAATTTCTCGACGAACTTACGATAGTATCCCGCTAGGCCAAGGAAACTACGTATTTCTTTCACATTTTTGGGTCTCTCCCAGTCGATGATGGCTCTTATCTTGGCGTTGTCCACAGCAACGCCCGAACCGGATATGACATGCCCGAGAAAGCCAATCTCTTTGAGCCAAAATTCACATTTGGAGAACTTGGCAAAGAGTTGTTTTTCTCTAAGTCGTTCAAGTACAAGCCCCAAGTGATGTTCATGCTCCTCCTCGCTCTTGGAGTATATCAAGATGTCATCAATGAATACTATCACGAATTGATCCAAGTATTCACTAAACACTCGGTTCATCAAGTCCATGAATGCCGCCGGTGCGTTGGTTAACCCGAATGACATCACAAGAAACTCATAGTGACCATATCTAATGCGGAATGCACTCTTAGGTATGTCACTTTCCTTGATCTTCAACTGATGATAGCCCGATCTCAAATCAATCTTGGAGAACACTATCGCCCCCCGAAGTTGATCAAACAAGTCATCAATCCTCGGTAAAGGATACCTATTCTTGATCGTGACCTTGTTCAACTGTCGGTAATCTATGCACATTCTCAATGTACCATCTTTCTTCTTCACGAAGAGTACGGGTGCTCCCCACGGTGAGTGACTGGGCCTAATGAATCCGTTGTCCAAAAGTTCTTGTAGTTGGACCTTTAACTCTTGAAGTTCCGCCGATGCCATTCGATAAGGAGGTATCGAAATGGGCTTGGTTCCCGGTTCAACTTCAATTACGAACTCAATCTCCCGGTCGGGTGGAAGTCCCGGCAAGTCTTTGGGAAAGACGTCCGGATACTTGCACACGACACGTACATCGTTGATGTCTATCTCTTTCTTTGTCTCATCAACTACGTAAGCAAGGTACGCGTGGCATCCTTTTCTCATCATCTTCCGTGCTCTCATCACGGATATGATACAACCATGAGATCCTCCCCGATCTCCCTCGAAACGAAAGGTGTTCCCCTTATCATCCTCGAGTTCCAACACTTTGGTGTAGCAATCAACTCGAGCATGGTGCTTTTCAAGCCAATCCATTCCTAGGATAGCATCGAACTCCATCATACTTAGAGGTACGAAGTCACAAGTCAAAGGTTGACCCGTCACTTCTACCTCACATGATGGATAGTAATGGTTCCTCTCCACGTCATCTCCCAATGGTGTGGAGACTACCAAGGTTTGCGTCATTGGCGTCAATGGCACGTCAAGACCTTCGGCAAACGCTTCGCTCACAAATGAACGTTGAGCCCCGGTATCAATGAGAATTCTTGCATTTCTTCCATTGATCAATAGTGTCCCTACATTTATAAATGATGTAAGACACACTACTCGATGTACCGGATCGAAAATGGGCTAAACGAACATTTTCTGGCCGAAAATGTACTGGACCGGCGCCGGTTCTAGGCCAGACCGGCGCCGGTTTTCCCCTGGGATGGCCGAATGCTCAACAAATACACTGGACCGGCGCCGGTTATGGCCAAAACCGGCGCCGGTTTACCGTCGGCAACCTCGGAAAATAATTTTTTCTAAAAAAACGGCCCCGGTTACGAGCACGGTGATTTGCCCCGGCCAATTTTCCATTAGACCGGCGCCGGTTATGGGCAAAACCGGCGCCGGTTTTCCTTCGGCACCCCTCGGAAAATCCCATTTTTTATTACCTCAGCCCCTCCGAAACCGGACCGGCGCCGGTTATGGGTAAAACCGGCGCCGGTTTACCTGCGGCAGCCCCAAACCCTTAGTTTTTAAATAGAACCGGCACCGGTTTAAGCCCCGACCGGCGCCGGTTTACCCCTGGGCAGCTGTATTCCTATAACTTTTTGCTAAAAACACACTGGCATCGACCCCGGCGAGCCCGTACAAGCCCGTTATCATTTTTAACACTTAACAACATATAATTTATCAAACATTACAAGGGATTACCTGCAACGGAGTCGGGGTTAGCCCGAGCATCGGCCTCGGTCATAGCATAGACCCGTGCTTGGGCCCCGCCTTGGTTGACGGACGCGGCATGGCTCGTTGATGCGCCGCCTCTCCCCGTGCCACCATGTGACGGTCCCGCACGGTTCCTCCCCGTCATGGACCCCCCTCCGACTCCCGGTGTGTTCTCCTGCGTCGCTTGAGGACAATTGGCCTTCATATGGCCCGCATTCCCACACTTGAAACACCTTGGCGGTTCGTTACACTTCCCAAAGTGCTGTTTTGAGCAATTGGGACATCTAGGTGCTCCCGAGTTCTGTGGCCTAGGTCCGTGCCACCTCCCGTCCCTGTTCTTTTTCGCCGGTGGGGCCGGCGCCTTGAATGAGCCCCCACCACCACCATGGTTGTTCTTTCGGGAATGGTCGGGCGGCCCCGAACTGTTCCACTTCCTCTTCTTCGCCTCCTCGGCGTCCCTTGCTTTCCTCTCATTCCACTGGGCCTCCCCAAGCATGCCCTGCTCTACCACCTCACTGAAAGTCATGAGGCGGGAGTATGTAGCACGATCTCGGATGTCTAAGAGTAAGGCATCCCAGAAGTGCTCAGTCATGCGGTCCTCATCGATTGCATACTCCGGTAAGAACCTAGCCAAGGTTCTAAACTCTTGCTCCAACTGCTTAACGGTGCCACCTTCTTTCTGCTTGAGGTTGGTATACTCCCTCCTTTTTACATTAACCTCAAAATCGGAGTAGTATTGGGCATAAAACTCTCGCTCAAAACTTTCCCATGAGATATTCCCACGGTATTTCCCTTCTACACCTTCCCACCATGTAGAAGCCATCCCCTCAAGCAACCGTGAAGCAACGGTTAGCTTCACGTCCGGAGTAATTTGCATGTCCCTTGATGCATCCTTCACTTTCTTGATCCAATCGGCGGCAACGGTAATGTCACCGGTGCCATCGAAGGACCTACACCCCAAGGCCCTAGCCTCCTTGAGGTACTTGGAGATTCTCACTATGAAACCTCCCTCGAGCCCACCTTGTGGGGCCTCAGGTGCGGCCCTTGGAGCTCCCCGGCTTCCTTGAGCCGACACACCTTGAGAGCCACGCCTTGCTTGGCGCCTAAGGTCTCTCCTCAGTTTCTCCTTTTGATACCACTCAAGTAATTCGCCCATTTGGGCGAATCGGGCATCACTCTCATCATCATTTTCATCATCAGTGTGGAAATCACCCCCATCGTATGGGGTCTCTTCATGCTCCGTTTCAGGAACATAAGTAGAGTCGTAGTTCTCGGTGCTAGTCTCGTACACCGAACTTACGTGGCCATCACTCACTGTTTGGGCTCGGTGGCCCCCACGTCCTCCACGGCCTCCACGGCCTCCTCTTCCACCCCTGGAGCTTCGAGATGAAGCCCGACTAGCTCCAACAGAAGCTATCGGTGCTTGCCCTCTCGGATTGTTCCTGGTCCGCATGCGTCTACCCTCCATTTCTGAAAAGGAATTTGGACGAGTCGTTAGACTCCAATCAATGTCAATTGACGGAAAACGTTATAGACACGTATTGGCCTAAGTCGCCGCCATACCAACTGTTAAGGGTACCATCTTAACAACTAGAGACCTTGCAACCTCGGTGACAATAGTTCTATAAGCGTCAAAATACAATGCTCATGGTTTTCGATAAAACTCTTTTGTAAAGTCTCATGTGAGAGGTTGATTATATAGTTTAGAAACTGAGATGGCTCTGATACCACTTAATTGTCACGCCCCGGACCGCATCCGAGCGCGTGTACAACCGCCGTATGACTAAATGACGTCACTCGCAAGTCAACGTGACTTAATCATACAAGGCGTCCATGAACATTGTTCATACCATACTCAGTAAGTAAACATACATAACAACATCACATATTTGGATTGAACGAATCGCGGAAATATTCAATATTCAATCATGGGCCACATATGGCCAAAACGTGGACTCGCAGGCCCAAAACAAATGTACTTATTTCAAAATATCCATGAGCATAGTTTATAGTTTAAAATAGTAAAGGAAGCACGAACCACGTCTCCCTTTAGATTACTTCACCGAGCAAGGTGAGAATGCAAGCTTGAGCTTCAACCTGAAATGGTGGGGCCCCCCGAAGGGGTCAGTACAAGTACCGAGCGAGTAGCAGGCTAAATGTAGAATAACTAACGTTTCAAGTATAAGACCCAAACATAGGGTGGTACATATACATATAGTTCTTTCCCCCAAGTTATGAGATATATATCATTATATATACACTTGGAAATACCCGACCCTTAGGTCATTGTTTATTTGGGAAATAATATAGCCGTTAACCTTGGCTTAAACCCCAACCCACCCATATACCTATGAGTGTATAGAACTCCTCCTGGTTCAAATCATCTTAACATGAGGACACCGCCCGGTCCCAAATTACAAAATAATAATCTATGAGTTTTGAGGATACACGCCCGATCCTTGGGTACTCCACCCTATAACCGAGTTTTGAGGATAACCGCCCGATCCTTGGGTACTCCACCCTATAACCGAGTTTTGAGGATACCGCCCGATCCTTGGGTACTCCACCCTATAACCGAGTTTTGAGGATACACGCCCGATCCTTGGGTACTCCACCCTATAACCGAGTTTTGAGGATACCGCCCGATCCTTGGGTACTCCACCCGACTTATGATCTACCACATATCATCCTAGATAAGGTCTATATCATAATCAATAATCAAGACTAAACCAAGTCTTAAGGCCTAAGCATAATCATCCATGCAATTCATGCATTAAAAATCAACATATAGGCAAAACAGTGCCAAACCGGCGCCGGTTTTGACATAACCGGCGCCGGTTATTAATTAATTTAATAAAACCGGCCATGCCGATCCATAACCGGCGCCGGTTTTGCCTATAACCGGCGCCGGTTACCCCCTGGGTAACCAAGTCAACATTTTCGTTGACTCGCCATTTCAACCCGATTTGTGTCAAACTTAATCCTAACGTGTATTAAGTTATAACCAAGCATTTTATGCCTCTTTTATCCCTTAAAACATTATATATGTTTTTATAAACATTTTCATATCATGCTTCATTTATGATATCAATGGGTCATACATATAAGTCTAAACACTTTGGATAATCACATGTTTAAGCATCTTTTAAACATCGTTACGAACACATATAACATTTACTTAGGTAATCTCATAATTAACCCAAGAGTTATAAGACATTAAGCCGTCCACTCACCTCGAATGAGCGTGATGAAGTTCTACCCTTCTCGGTTGAACTCCGGCCAAACTCCGGTGAACTTTGACGAACTCCGGCGATAACTCCGGCGACCCTTTAAACTTTGTGAAAGCTTATAAATCACCTTTGACAAGTTCCTAACAAGGTTTTATCATCACAAAACCCATATTAATACAAATAACCTCTAAAAGGTCATTTTCCGGCTAACCGGTCGTTTTGGCTCCTAAGTCCGTTCTTGGACATAGGACCGCCTTTCAACCCTCCTTTTCTACATTATAACATGTAGAACAATACTAGGGGTACTTCATATGCTATGTAAGTCATATGAAGTTCAAAGAGAGGAGAAAAAGTTATCATGGAGTCATTACCTTAATTATCCAAGTTTTTCCTCACTTTTTCCCTCCTTAAACTTCCTTTGTGGACTTCTCCTTGTTTGAGCTCAAGGTGTAGCTATGGAAGATGGTGTGAAAGGTTCCTCCCTCCTTCCTTGAGGTGTGCAGGTCGAGAATGATGGGTGAGAGAGAGTGGAGAGGTTGTTTTGTCTCACTTAGCCAATGAGTGAATGGGAAGGGCCCTTTGGCTTTTCAACCATGTTCCTCACATCTATTCATGCTCCATCATGTGTCCTTCCAGCTCTCAATAGTCCTCTCTTGCACACAAAAACGTGGGATGGCCCCCACTCATGTGGGAGGTCATCCAAACTTGTCCCGGAATGTACAATCGGTCCCAAAAGTTGTATTTCTCGGACTGTTTTAAATTATATTTTATTTTATTGGGTCAAATAAAATATAACACTTACTTCCCATCATAATGGGCCTTTAGGATGATTATACATTCTCCAACTTTAATTTGGAAGTCCCCGAAATTCATTTCAGACTGTTATCCGATAAATTACCCCAAACCGGTAATTGGGCCTCGTTTGACCAACCGATCAACCCAATGCCCTTCCTATGGCCCAAGGTGGATGTCCACCACCCTATAACTATTATCTATACCAAGATGAATAAAATATGCGGTTTCGGGAATATCGGGTGGTCCCCGCTCCCGTGTGGGCCCCACGTGCAATTTACTATTCACGCAAAAGAATTAACAAAAATTTACAACCTCGTAAATTCATTAACCATTTCATAAGGTTCAATACATAATTTACATAAAGGTAAATATACTTGGGGACGGTGTTACACTGCCTCATCTTTTAGTTCAGTAAAGCTTTCATTTGAATAAGAAAACACTTTTCTTATCTTCTGGGTGCAACCAAGCTCTTCAAGCTTCTCTTTCAATGCAATCAACCCAAATTCATCTACATCTAAATCATGGAATAATTGAACTGTACCTCCCAGGTATGAAGGTCTTTCCATAGCATTCACTCTTCCCCCATAATATAATATAACTTCAGAGTAAATGTTCTTTCAGAGGTGGTTGGATCTATTTAAAATAAATTAATATGCTAGGGCAATCATCTTATGTGGATCCCACAAGCACAATTAACATATTCATATTTACATTTAAAAAAAACATTAAAGCATAGAAGCCCAAGCACACATGAACACATCCCCTTGCGTAAAGAGTAATCAATATGGTCCCATTTCTGAAATGTAAAAACCATAAAGGGGCAAGGACAAGGGAATCTCAGTCAAATAAAGTGAATGCCTACCCTACCATGTGAATGTGAAGACATAAAGGGAAAAGGCAGCCTTAGCAATACAAGTGTGACATGTGAACACAAATGAGATGTAAAGACCGGTTCAACCATTTCACACCTAAATTTATTTTATAAAGTACACACAATTAACTTCATCCTCTTACCTTTACCAGAAACATTTGAGGCAGAATGGTGTTCGCTGCTTGTTCCTTCTCCACCGTCCCTACGACGATGCATTCCAATTGTAAACAATCTCGGAGGTCGTGTCCTCATTTCGTAAGTCTCTAGGGCTAAGCTTCTTCAGATTGGAGGGAGAAAGATTCGGATGGCTTCTTCAACGCATCTATTCAGAGGAGAAATGACAATTAGGTTAGTTTGGAGTCAGATTGAAAATTAGTTTAGCAATTAGCCGTTTTAAGGACCTAAAGTTACTAAAATACCCTTCACACGTGTCATTTATATTCTGGCCGGTTAAATTCAGCCGGAGTTTTGACCGGAAGGACCACGGGTGGTGAGGGGAAGATGGTTGCGGACTGAACGTGGACAAATTGATAGTCAGGGACGAAATGTGGAAATGGTATAATAGTCATGGGACCAAAAGTGGAATTTTTTCATAATATGAGTAGTACACTTATATTTAATACTTATATATATATATATATATATATATATATATATATATATATATATATAATATAGGGAAGAGTTCAAATAAAAAGTAGTCTTCCTGTGCAAAGTACGAAAATTGCACTTTTACATGTTTCGCTTGCACTTTTGCTTATTGTCGTTACACTTTTTCGCGATAACGAAAAAAGGTGGGTTATTTGCAAAACTGCCACCGTGGTTTTGGCTGAATTTGTCCAAAATCGCAAAGTCAAAAAAGTGCTATAGAAACAGTTCCATGAGGCTCACCTATATATATAGGGAGCAGTTCCAATGAGAACCATGCTTAACGTGAGAACGTGAGAACCATGCACTTTTAACACATCTCGGTGCACTATGAGGCTCACCTATTGCACTTTTTAAACTTGGGTCAAAACGTGCCAACTTTATATAAGTGTGGAGACAAATTTGTGATTATTTCGTTAACACGAAAATGTGCAAGAAATAATCGATATAGTGCATCACAATTGCTTAAAAGTGGAGTTCTCACGTTCTCACGTTAAGCAAGGTTCTCATTTGATCCAAAATATATATATATATTTTGATAATAATTTTCAATCTGACTCCAAACTAACCTAATTGCCATTTCTCCTCAGCAATTTTTGTTTTCTTCCCGAAACGTATAATTTTTCCCAAGTTGACAGAATTGTTCCGGGCAGAAGGCCACGACCAGAGGTGCTCCAGTTCTAATGACCTTCGGGCAGAGTTGCTCCGGTTCTGATGACCGCGCATCAGAACTGCTCCAGTTCTGATGGCCTTCGGGCAGAGATGCTCTGGTTCTGATGACCGCGCATCAGAACTGCTCCAGTTCTGATGGCCTTCGGGCAGAACTACGTAGGGGTCTTCTGATGGCTTCTGAACCGTTACAGCAATAAATGCCCAACGTTTATATATGACTACTCATATATATATATATATGAGTAGAGGATTATTCCTGTCCGGAAATTCCGGACAGGAGCCCCGTTCGGCCTCCTCCATTTGGGGGCCTTCCCGATGGTATTTTTTGCTCAAATATTTTGTGTATGTTCCTCATCAAGTCTAGTTTATACATAACAAATTTCAGCCAAAAATTCAACCGGGAAAGTTGTCACATGATTTTTGCAAGTTAACTGGTCCGGAATATGTATTTTCCGGACCAGTTAACTTGCAAAAATTATTTTACGACCTTCCCGGTTGAATATTTTGCTGAAATTTGGTATGGATGAACTAGATTTGATGAGGAACATTCACAAAACATTTGGGTAAAAAATACCACCGGGAACCACCTCTAATTGAGGTGGCCGGACGGGGCTCCTGTCCGGAAATTCCGGACAAGAAAAGGACTCTATGTGATGTTAAGACTCGGGGTTCCATCCTAAAAGGTCAACCTGATAGGAGGAGTAGCCCATGTCTTAATATAGCACTTCGTTGATTCAAATATTTCCGGTGTGGGACTCTAACACCCCTCCTCACGACCAGACACTTCGTCTGGATCGTGCCGTCTTTCATTTTTTTTCGTCGGTTCGTCGTTGTCATTTTTTTTATAATCGTGTAATCATTTTTCATAAGGGGGTCCCACACCATGGATCTATTTGGCTCTGATACCATGTTAAGACTCGGGGTTCCATCCTAAAAGGTCAACCTGATAGGAGGAGTAGCCCATGTCTTAATATAGCACTTCGTTGATTCAAATATTTCCGGTGTGGGACTCTAACATATGAGTATACCTCTGGATCTTTTCATACTTTGGGCCGGGTATGTTGGGCCTGGACCCAATATCCCAACATATACTATATAATATATAATAATATAAGTATACTATAATATATATAAGTATATATTAAGTAAATGTAACTATGTAAGTAGATAATAAGTATACATTAAGTAGATGTAAGTAGATATAAGTGTAGGAATGCTCAGGTCCATCCGGAGGGACGGGAGGCTCTGTCCGAACTTTACTGTTTGGGGCTCTTCCCGATGGAATTTTTTGATGAACTTTTTTGAGAATGTTTTTCATGAAGTCTAGTTTATCAATACCAAATTCAATTGGGAAGGCAGTCAAATGATTTTTGGAAGTTAACTGCGCACTTCATATACATATAAAACGCAGTCATCTTCCAAAAATCATTTGAGTCTCTTCCCGGTTGAATTTTTAGCTGAAATTTGGTATTAGGATAAACTAGATTTCATGAAGAACATGCTCAGAAAAGTTGATCGAAAAATTCCACCGGGAAGGGCCTCAAACAGTAAAGTTCGGACAAAGCCTCTCGTCCCTCCGGATGGACCTGAGCATTCCTCGATATAAGTATATATTAAGTAGATAATAAATATAAATAATATGATATACGTAGTATCTATTTATATGTAGATAATTAATATATAAGTAGATAAAATAATTATATAAATAGTAAAATAGATGTATAGAGAATAAGGATGTTTTTACTTGGACTGTAATTTGTTGGTCTGGTCTGGTCTGGTCGGGTTTCTTTGTATTTTTATAACTATCCAAGTCTGGTCTGGTCTGAACTGTTATGATCTGGTCTGGGACAAATTACAGTTCAAGTAAAAACATCCTAAGAGAATTTGAGAAGATGAAGATGATTAAGATTTAAGAGTATTAGAGAGTAGAGAGTGAAGATTGGAGAAGGGGTGTAGGAAAATGTGAGAGAAATTGTGTATTTATAGATTTTTTTGTACCCCCACCTCCAAACCCCCGGGACCCCCTGCAGCACCCAACGGCTATATAGCTGTTTGGGGCTATTTCCAACGGCTAGGGGAGCCTTTTTGGTTAAAAAAAATCTAGCCGATAGGCCCAAATCGGGCCCAGCTTATCATTTGGGCATCCCGGAACCGCCCCCCGTGTTTCCCGACCAATGCCCGGTACCGAGACCGGTCAACCAGGCTGGTCTAGGCCCGCACAGTAACGGGCCGGGCCGGTCAGACCGGACCGGTCCACCACCAGTCAAAATTGGGTTAAATGGGTTTACCGTCAAAAGTAAGAGGGTGTTCCCGACCGTTTAGGAATTTTAAAGTTGTTTGCCCAAAAAAACTTTAAGGGCTTATGTGTCCTTCGATCACAACTTTAAGGGGTGTTTTTGCCCTTTCTCCTCCGTACTAATACTCCGTATATATATGACATAAATGTCAAGCGAAAATAGAAAGAAGGAAAGACGGAATTTGCCGGTGGCTTCAATCTAAACTCCGATTCCCACTTGGTTGGTTGGCTTTTGAGAGCAAAAGTGGAGAGATTTGGGCTTCCACATCAAG